CTACACTAAAAGTGCAATATGAATTACAAAAAATGAATCTCATTTTCTATTTACAACTGCAAAATAAACAAAAATCACTTTTTGCTGGTGTTTTGCAACAATCTGCATATGAAGGCTAACCATGTTAGTTTTTTCCTAAAATGAGGTCATATCTGCTCTGTTGATGTTGGATATGTGCTGCGTTCCATCAGAAAATAGTCCACCGATAACAATTGCAAACAGGGCAGCTAAACCAACAGCATACTGGATTCATTCTGATCTAACTTGTATGAATCAGTTGACTATAATTCATTAAACTGAGATTTTTTTTTTTTTTTTTTTGCCATAAAAGCTGAGATTATATTTACCTGTATGAAGGGCACATACTTTCACTAATATATGACTCATTCTTTGGTGTCATCTAAACGTATGATGTCAAACAAGCACGAACCACTTCAAATTAAAGAAAAAGACTTACAGACATAATTAATATTGCAGTTAAAGCCTCGAAATCATCTTTGATAAGTGAACTAGGACATGAAGTCATCACCAGTAACTCAGTAACCATCAGCAGAAGTTCCCATGCACTTCACTTTTGCGCCAAATCACATGGTCAACTGAAAGAAGTATAGAGGAGAATGTATAACATATATTAACAAGAACAATGAATGGAAAAGAAAGCATGCTGAAGCCATAGTTTGGGGGAACAGATCAAACCATGAAAATGGCTCCATCTCAAAAATTGTATATGTATGAACAACTCAATACATTTCGAGAAATGAATCCCCACATTACAATTAGGTGGACAAATAGCCCTCTACAAGAAGGGGCTGCTGCAGTATGCCTCTTTGATACAATCAAATGAATATCATTTAAGACAGAAAGTGTTTCATACGTATGATCCTAAGCATTCTGACTGTAATAAACAGAGTTCAGTTCTATCAAACGTTCATTTCCCATCTCGGTGGCAGCTCTCTGCATTTAGGAAAGAATAATTGATATTTATGATAACATCTATTTAGGAATTGTGTAATGTGATAAACCATGGTTATTGTGAATAATGTAAAGACTAAGCCTAATTGCATATCCCAGCTAACCATTTCATCAGATATCAAGGAGCAATGTGTCATAAATGGAAGAACTAATTCATATCACTTAGTAGAAATAAAGTTGTGTTTCCTGTAATGGCCTTCAGAACCATCCGCATCAATGCATAATCTGCACACCTGCTGGTGTGTGGATGATGGCAAAACAGGATTGATAGCTGAAATCATTATTGCTATGCTCATAATTCAATACTAGCATCAAAATCATCTCAATAAATAAAGAAAAAATGAAAAGAATAAATAAATTTGAAATAAGACCTGTCTGACCATACACGCATTCATTTGTTATCATAAGGATAAGAGCTAACAGGCAATCTTCACAACTGTTCTCCCCAGCAGTTGATTGCCAAAAGCCATCTTTAATTAATCTCATCATCATACAGACTTAATCTATGCAACAAGATGTGCGTTCATCTCAAATAATTTTAAAACATAAAATTGGAATAGTTTCCAAATGCTCATAGCCAATATTGTTTTAAAATGCTAATCAAGTTCTCAACTGTCAATGGTAATACGTACAAACTAAGAAGTTCCATTATGGTAAAGAGAGATGCACTTTTACCATCCAAAATGAGACCCAAAAGCCAAGAATAAAGCCATCACTATTTGAAGGCAGGATTTTTCTATTCTGCAAAAGAGTGGTCCCTTTCCTGGTATAGTAACATAACCCAGCTTTGGTGAGAAAAAATAATAATAATAATAATAATAACCCTGCTAAAAATAGGTGTATACCAGTAAAACAGAACAAATACAACTTAACATCATATTTTTGACATACTAAATATATCAGGCCAATTCTTAGCACTATCAAATTAACACCTCCCCCCCCCCCCCC